CACATCAGGTATGGTGTCTTCCTGCGCTGGTTGCGATCGTATGGAACCATGGGCTTCATCATTCACTGGTATCGGAGCCGGACTAATCTATCTTGCTCTCAGCCATTTTATGATCGCGTACGATTTAATAGCTAAATTGGAACAAAAATGACAAAATTATTAATATTAATTGCAATAATTTAATATACAGAATGAAAATTGATGATCCATTGGATGCGTTCGCTGTGCATGCCGGTGGAGGATTCTGGGGACTTTTCTCAGCATGCATTATCGCTCACGACGGAATCGTCTACGCCATTTCAGATGCTATCGCCAACAATCACGGATCCCAATCATTGAGACAAGCATTCGCGGTGAGCTCATCCCTTTTTTCATTTTCGGACTGTTTCTTTGCATTGGATGGGGTGGGGGAGAAAAGGGTAGGCTGGAGGAAGGCAATCTCACAGTTTGTCCGGCTGGCCAGCTAAGGGATTGACCCAGCCACTGAACCATAGAAACAAATCTAATCCACTCAGGTATTCCCCATTTTGAACATATAAATCGAACAGATTGAGAAAATTTAGAATGAAAAGAGAAAGTTACGTGATTTTTTACAAGGTACATATTGATAGAGAGGCTTTTCGGTCAATCGACACCAACCAAACTCCCAGAAACTCAAATCGTGCAATGTCATACTCTTAGTGAGTTAACCTCAATCAGGGACTATGAAAAAAACTTAACTGACCAATCAGATGCTGCAAATTTTTATGTGAGCATCCAACTTCTCCTAGTGGTCGATTTTTTTCCCACGAGTCATGCGATTGTCACCTCAAAGTAACATGTTCATAACTGATGACACTTTTATTATATCAAACAGAATCAACTGTTAATTCTGTTATTCCGAAATTTTGAATAAATATTTCAGCAACTTGGATGGCAGCTGATTTGCGCTTCGGCAATAATAATATGGTCTCTGCTTTGGATGGTTCCTATCTTCCTATTTTTGAAAAAGGTGAGGGAATGAATTTTAGAAGAAAATTTCAAATATTTCTCCAGCCCCACTTTGCCTGACTGAAATTGAAGCTAGACGTCGGAAAATTTCTGACATATAGCAGCATCGACCAATCACAGGTCTCGCGGATCATTCAATGAGCACGTGTCGCGACCGCGCGCGCGTACCTAATGAGTTTGGCTTTGGACTGCCCTTCCTACAATATTTCGCTTAATAGAAACGCATTGGTGCCATAGTCAAAGTAAGCTTTTCAGATCGGAAAACTTCGTGTCACTGAGGAAGTAGAGATCAATGGACTTGACATCTACAAACATGGTGAAGCAGCTTATCCATTGCACGCTTACGGTCATGGATGGGACGACTTTGAACCGATAAAGGACAAAAAGGGTCATCCAATTCACAAGTTCCGGAAAAACAGCGATCACGCCGAAAGTGAGAAACCTGTTTCAAAATACGGAAAATCACAAATTCTCTCATTTTGAACATTTGCACCCTAATTTTTCTTTGGGGAAACGAAAAAGTAAACTAGTAACCTGAGACTGAACCGCTTTGCAGTGTCGCTGGAGCAACTTGCTGCTGCTTACGAACGTCGAACCAGTGTTGCTCCAGCCAGCTTTCTAACGTCAACAATTGACGGTGAACCACGACGCAAAAAGAGTCTCTACATCAATCCGTCACAATACGAGCACCCTGAACATCATTCACAGGCCAGAGAGAAGAATAGGGTTCAGAAACGGGTGGGTGTTGCTCTCGAATGTCTACTTTTAGGTCCTGCTGTACCATCGCTCGAATTCATGGGGGTAAGGGCCAGAAGCGCCATTTTGGTCACTGTGCCGAGTGAGGTTACTGTGCGTTGCACCAATCAGTGCTCGTGATCCGACTTTTTTGACGGGAAGTTCCCGCCCTCCCCTCTTGCCCTCCCTCCCTCTTTAGCCTACAATATCCCACTGATTGAGCAATATCACTCGCTAACTAGCTGGGTAACCAGCAAGATCTTTGAAAAAGTTCTATCATGATCAATCAAATCGGATTTGCTCTTGACTTCAGCGCAGTTGCCAAAATGGCAGTTCTTGACCCATACCGGCACCCTGAGCCGAGCGTTATATAAATCAATTTTTTTTTTCAATGTTGCAGGTGAAAGGGCCTTATCCTTGCATTACAGGTCACACACAATCCAGACGTCGAAATGGCAAGCGCCCCGACTACGGCCAAGTCTTCTAGAGCTGATATCATTGCAGAACTGTATGAAGACGCTCCCCAGCAGCATCTTATTTAATGTGAACCTTCACATTGGTGTGAGGCATGGCGCAACTTTGCGTATGCTGCCATTTACTGTATATGGCAGCATGCCCAAATGTTACGCCATGCCTCACAAAATATTGTCTTATATATACCTCGAATCTCAGTGGTGATGTTCAAATCTTATTCTGTATTTATATATCACTACCTTCCTTTGTGCTCATATGTACTACTTACTATATTGCGCAGAGTGGCTGCTTTCATAGTCCACGATTTGGCCCGCGACCGGTCGCGCGACCGACCGCTCGACCACTTGCGGCCCAAATCATGGACTATGAAAGCAGCCAGTTGCAAAAAAATGGGTTAGTTGCGCGATGTACTACACGTGGCGAACACTGTGATTGGTGCGTGCATCCAGCTACCAATCACAAACAAGCCTCTCATTCGAACTATGTCTTGGCAAATTCTACATCGGCTGAACGTTAATGTGGATCAATTAGATTTTGAACAGGGTACACGACCTTTTTTTTNTTTTTTTTATACTACAAATAATGAACTGCTAATATGTATGGGTATTATTTCTCCGAGCTTGAGCATCGACTATTAGGCACAGGTTCTTGAAAACACTGAATACGCTGAATACCTGGTTAAGGTACTTTACCTACAGCTCTGCACCCTTGTGGAAACTCTAATAGCTAGCGGATGTAAATCCCTTGAGGGTTTCCAGCTGAGCTTAAAATGAAGTTTTGGATATGGCGATTTTAAGAGATTTTCCGACTACCGCTATTTTTTGAACAGCTCACCCGCTGGACATAAAAGACATCGCAATTAACAGTCATTGTTGTACTGAATTAAAGATTTATCAATAAAATTTTAGCCATTTCATACTCTCAGAACAGAAAGCAGAACTGTCGAATATGGCTTATACTTCCCAAGTTCTTCCGAATACTACCCCGCCCCGCGCACCAACCCCTCCCCTAACACTCACACCTTTCGGACATCCGCGAAATAATTAACCGGCAGTGGGAGTACGAGTAAAAAGCTCATATAACAGCTCATATACAAAGCAAACTCACTGAGGTTCGTCAANGCCGCTTCGATCGGAAGGCTGTGCAAACACCACGGCTTCAGGAATTTCAGACCCTAGTTCTGACACCACGCCTTAGCACAAAAAAGCTTCACATTGTCTCCTTGAAGTCTGAGCCACTTCCTTCCCGCTATGCTTATTCCAAAGAACATGATAGCACATTCAAAGTTCCTTAAGTTTTTATTGAAGCACATCCAAAGTTTCTTAAGATTTTATTGAGTGAGCGATTTTTCTGAAAACACGGCGAACACTATTTACTTACCAGAAGCAGTTGATTTACCAGTAATCCGACGAGCAACAGTTTGAACAGAGACATTAGCTAGTTGCTGCCGGAGCGCTGCTCTAAGTTATACCTATCTGACCTAATGCCGCTGGCGCCTCCAGACCTTTCCAGGTTGGGAACGGCTGTAATAGCTATCTATTCAGTAATCTGTGCCACCTACTACTTTGTTATTGTTACTTTTTCGTTTTTAACGATTGCTTACCGTCTTAAGGATAAACTTGAATAGTGCTGTAGTAGGGCACTTCCATCGAATAAACTATGGGCAGCAGCCAAAATGAAAATTCCCATAGAAGAAGACAAAGAATCAAAAAACTGCGTTGCTTATTCATAGTTGATAATGTTAACTTGCAACTGGTAATGCTAGCTCCATCTGTAAACAAAATGACAATATTTGTCACTGCCACACTCCGTCGCAGCAAACACTTTGAATCGAAAATTTCCTTCACCACGACCCCAGTAACCAATGTTCACTTTCATTTAAGTGCAATGAACCCCAATATACCTCTTCGGAATGATTCAGCTCTAGGAAGACCATGTTGCTGAGTTGTTAATGCGTTGAAACACGCTCCATCGACTGTTCTTTTATTGCCGTTCAAAAGCGCGCCATTGCCTGAACGTAAGGGAACTACGGTAACTTGGTGCGTGTTCAACTTATCGATATGATTTTACCACATCCGTTGCCCTTCAACTGATGAGGTTTCTAATGTTTTGAGAAGCCATACAGTATAGTTGTTCAAATCTGTGAACAACTCTCCTAAAGGGTGGCTCAATGAACTAATAATATTACCAAATGAAATCGAGTGGACGAGTTTCCTTGCCAGCACTTGCAACGTTGTTGGAACTTTGCCATAAATCACATATGTTTCAGTCATTGAGTTGGTTATTAAGATTGTTCATTGGGTTAGATGTGATTTGATCGGCGTTTTTGATCTGGATTTTAATATCTTCGTCTTATACATCTGTGAAGGGGAGGATGTGCCAGGAATATGTTTTTTCAGATGTCGTAGTGCATGCCATGAATTTGTCTTGGGCTAACCAGTTTGCTAAGACTGCTCTCAAAACAGCTCAACAGAAAATCGACAGTGTTCTCGACATTCGGCCGGACGATGAAGAACCTACCAGTTCAGCTGCGGTAAGTACGTTATCTTTGGCATTACTTCTAACTCTTTAATCAAGAGCTTACAAATTAACAGCTCGCTTTATATACTGCAGTGGAGCTTCTTCATCAGTGTTGCACTCAACTCTCTTTTTTAAGGATGTAATCCCAGATGAGCTGCTTATCAACCCTGTTGTCCCACTTGTCACCGACGAGGTACGTTTTGTGTGGTCGGGTATTCAGGTTTACAGGTTATTACTACCCAGTCACTCTTCCTTGTAACTTGTTCAGGTGAACGTACCTGCTGCTCAGGTGACACCAATAGTGAATGGAGAGAGTTGGTCGAATGCATGGAACAGCGTGTCAACTGGTACTGGTCAAGAGGTATGAACGGATTGCCGCCGATTTCTCCTCTTTTACCTTTTTCTTTTTTGGCTTTTCTCCAAACCTTACTGTAGAAAAAGAACTTTCAACAAAAACTTCATTGGTTAGCAATTATGTAACGGGGTTTTTTCTGAGAAACATTTATCTTCAAATGTAATCTACTGTTTTTCAAAATGATTTCTGTTTATATACCAGGCAGTCGAGTGTTTTGTAGTCAACGTATAATTGAGTTCTTTTTTTGTTTTTTCCTCTTATTTTTTCTTTTCTTTCTTCTTTCCTGTTTTTGTAGAGAAAATAAATACATTTTTTTAAATATGCTCAGTGACTTAATTGCTAACCTTAAAATAGGGATGGCCATTCTTTTTCTGTAAAGCTCCTATATTGAAAATGGGTGCCACTTGTAACCTGTAAGTACCTTTGTCTTTTGCTCATTTCCGGCATGATGTTAGTGTTATATTTAGCTCATCGTGGACTCGGAGCCAAATCCTATCAGAGACGAAGGTCCGCAGGCATCAGCGTCTCTGTTCGACCACTCACCGTCTTCGGTTAGTGGATTGTTTTATGCTCATGCTCAAGTAATTATTATCATGTTTCTTTCCAGAACTCATCTGATGGAATAGAACCTGGGCAATCACCGCAAAAGGTCAGTGACTACGAGGGGAGCAAGAGGGTTTGTGAAGAAAACTCTAAACCATTGGGAACATTTTTCTTCAAGTTTGTACCATTCAGGTGGAGACGGGAAATGTCGAAAAATCTGTGTATGTGGAGGTTGATCTGTCTGTTCCTAGCCCTGATGAGGTTCAACTTGCTTCCTCATCTGAAACCGTTCAGGAAGAAAACGTCATACCACGTAATTTTAACACATTCAATCTATCTTACTGGCAAATTGTTGGCTATTTTTACAATTAATATTGTAAATTTTAGCGTTACCCGACATTGTCCGTCGAAACTCTCATCAAGATGATTCGATAACCGTTGCCTCTAGTGATATAGAAGTGATTCGTAATGCAGACGCATGGTAGGCATACCTCTTTTTTATTTTATTTATTATTTATTTTTTATATTTTATTTATTATTATACTACTTATTTTTCATACCGTTTTTTTTTTCTTGACTTTTATTATATTCCAGGTCACTTGCTAGTAGTAAACCTGCGACCGATCACATGCCATCACATGTTTTGACAATGAAGGTACCTTTTGCTTTTGTTTCTTGGCTTATAGTTTTGATTTTGTTGTACTTATTTATTTGTGTAGGCAGATTTTACAAATTGTCAAAAAAGTCGTGTAAGGTGGGTCGAAAGAAATGAGCTGATACCATCTGTGATAATTTTAAACGATGTGTTTCTGAAAAACAAATAGAAACACAAGATTCGTTCCCATGCTTTCGAAGATTCTTGAAGTTTCTGCAGATGTATAATACCATTAGCAACAAGTTGACATTCCTTTCCAGACGTGGGGTAGGAGGTGAGGGGCTGAACACCGAGATTTGTTTCTCTTTCCTGAGCTCTCCCACTGGTAGGATTGCTCTTGATTCTGAAGGATTTCTGACAAGCTCGCTACTTCGCTCCTTCAGTAAACAGGAGAAAATTGGTTTTTGTCTTGAATTCCATCGTCAAGCTAACCGTAAACTATTTACTGGATTATCATTGTATCCTAAAAAAAAACAAGAAGAATGATGTGCGAGATGTTGTTTTTTGGATAGTTGGACGTTAACCGAAATTTTGCCCATGCACTTGAAGCGAATAGCCCTTCGTAGCTATAGCTTTTGGCTAAGTTGGATCTATTGACGAAAACACTGTACGCCGTAAGTTAGTATCGCAAACCAATTACCGTATCATGATTGAATTGCTATAGCGCTTCGAATTTACTTGGCTAAAGAGTAACAGCACATATTTTCTAAGTTTGAAAGTCTTCAAGATAGTAGAAGTAGTAAAAATACATAATGTTTCAGCACGATGTTACGGAATCATTCCGTGCCCAACTTCTACATGCTGAGCAACGCAGGAATGAATTGAAAGCAGCAAATGACACGTTGCAGACGAATAACGTGCAGCTACAACAGCGAATCATTCTCCTCAATCAACAGTAAGTTTTTGTTCTATGTTAAATCTGACTCGAATCGTTTTTTTTTGGGTTGTGGTTTTATGTCATTTCGAATGGTAATTTATGCCATTTTCCTGCTCGATTTCTCTGACATCCATTTTCTTTTTGTTTTTTCCTCCTGTCGTTTCACAAGAATTTCTGCTTATTATGTTGTTTAGGCAATCATCTCTGAAGAAAGAATTAGAGGGAAAAAAGGCAGAGTTGGAGGACCTTTTAGCTGAGGGTAAGCACTCCCACTATTGGTGTCCAGGCGAGTGGATTTCGATCCTTTTTTCAGGTAAGCGTCTATCCGATCACTCTGGGAAACAGGCTCGGGAAATCCGACGTCTGAAAAGTGAGTTAGCTGAACTAGAAAAGGTAAAAGCCGAGCGGAAACGGTTGAAAGAAGAAAAAAGCCGAGCTGAGGAAACAATTGATCTCCAAAGAGAAGAAATCACTTCACTCAAAAGTATGACTACGAGTATTCGGGTTTTTTGTGCGCTGTAAATCTTTCTCCGAATTGCAGATATGGTTAAGCAGCTGGAGTCCAGTGCTGAGCAACTACTGAAGGAACAGTCAATGCGGGCGGCCAGCACAGAGGTAGGACAATCAGTTTCTCGAGCCGATAATTGGCTTTATAGTAATTGTATTTACTTTTGCTAGGTCGCTCAGAAGCATGTAATGGAGCAGAACAAACTTGTAGCAGAATTGGAACGAGATTTATTAGAGGCTAGGAAACAAATAGATGAACTAAATGATTCTAACAGAGTGAGCTTTACTCAGTAATTTTTCTTTTACGATGCACGAATTCGTCATCTCCAATTCAAAAGTTTTATTCAGAAGTTAACCAGGGAAACCGAACTGATGCAGTCGGCCAATTGGTCCGAGCGTTTAGCCGGAGAACGCGCGAACGAAACGGTAGCAACCATCAACACCGAATTACTCGAAGCTCGAGCTCACATCGAACATCTTCAGTCTCAATTGCAGAACACTGAGAGTGTTAGTGGTTCGCAAATCTTCTTATTCGAGTCAATTACTCCTTAATTTAATTCTAGTGGAGGATCAAAGAATTTGTGTTAAGTCAGACTGCTGGTAATTTCCGTTACTTTTTCCTTTTCAGCGGCTTGAAGTTGTGTTAAGTGACCGGAACCATGTGGCAGAATCCATTTCTCAAAGTGAGTGATGTTTAGACCTACAGTATCCTATATAGTAATCACATTCGTAGAAAAGTTTTTCAGGTAACATTCCTTTATTGGAAGAAATCAATAATCTGAAGCAGTTACTGTACCGTGAGCAGAGTGCGAACGAGGAGTCCGACATAAAGATGCGTTCTTTGAAGAGAGAACTTGATTTAGTGAGAGAGCAGTTCGAGAAGCTTAAAGAGATTGTAAGTTGGCCTCTTGACATTTTTCTAGTTGGTCCAAACTTTTCCCGGGCAAAAGTTTTTTCTGGATATTAACTTTCTTTTGGCAAAGTTTATTCTAAATATTAATAATTAATAATGGTCCGCAAGTCTACAAAAAATATTCCAGTCTTATTCGTTTGATTACCGTGGTTCTTGTAAAAGACATTTTTCGTTAGGATTTGCTGATATCGATTTAGTTTATACTTCGAGTCTTTTTCAGAATGACTCCATGGTCGTGCATCATCATCAAGAGTTAACGGTGGTGAATCAGAAAGTACAACATCTTGAACGAGAGCTAGCGCTGTAGGTTTTGTTTCTTAAATGACTCAAACTTTTCCTTTTGTCGTTTTTCTTCCTTCATTTTTTCGTTTTCTTTTTTCTTCTCTTTTCTTTCTTTTTTTCTCATGTTCGTTCGTTCTTTTCAACCTTTTTTTTCTTTTTCGTCGCTTCCTTCCTGCAGCTGTTCATTTCGTTAATCTATTATGAACTAATAGATTCCTTCCTTCCTTCCTTCCTTTTTTTCTCCATTTTCTCTATACGCGCTGTTTTTCTTAATAAATTACTTATAGTTTACTTTAATTTTATTTTAGGGTGCATGAAGCGAAAGAGGTAACTGTGAAGGAACATAAATCGGCAAGAGCGGTTGATGCTGCTGCAATTGAAAATTTGCGAGAGGAGAACACCGTGCTTCTCAATGAGATCTCTTCACTTCGAACAAACCTGAAAGGACTTGTGAGTGGTTTTTTTTTTCATTTAGCCGTTTCATCGTCTAAATGTCACAAGACGTTAAAGACGTAGTGTAAATAGTTAGGAACTTTTATCGATTTTGTGTTGTGATGTGTATTCGTCATTTTGATTCAAGTTTTTTTCATAACGTTCTTTTCAAACATCATTTTACTCTAGCCTGCTGGTACTATATGTGGTTTTTCTCTGATACTTTATAATAAGATAATTACACAATATAACCCAAACACCGAAAAGTGCAGTTTTTTCTTTTTTTCAGAAAGATGAAAACGAAGCGTTGAAGGTGTCACTAGAAGAAGTAAGAGCTCAACGAGTAATGCCACAACCTGTTGAAAAGACGACGAAGATCCAACCTCAGAAAGATGCTGGTTATCCTGAAAACAACACATTCGGTGACATTGCTGCGCCAACGGCACAGGTAGCACCGTTCTCACTTACACCGCCTCAAAGTGCGACGGCTGTACTGGTAGGTTTTCATCTTTTTCCAGTGCTAGGCCCTTATTTGTAAAATTCATTATAAACTTATTCAAAGTCTAAATGAACTGCCTTTTAGCACGACATGTCGCTGAAGAGGATCAGTTTTCTGGAGCAAGAGGCAATGCGTTGTGGTCAGTTAGAAGAGCAGGTGCGGCAGCTGAAAAAGGAGCTTCAGGTTTGTTCCTGGTTCTATTCCTCCCATCTTTTTTCGACATGACTACAGCTTTACTATGTTACTTTTACTAGAATTTACCTTCAATGGTTTCGAATTTTAAATTTGAGGGGCCCCTTGATTTGTGTTTCAAAAGCTTTCGTTTATATGGGATATGTGGAAGTGTGGGTGTTACAAATGTTCCCAAACTAACATGTATCATAACTGACGTTGTGATTTGTGACTGGTTCAGGTTCTGAATCAACAATACAACGGGTTGTTGGTAGTTGATGGAGAAAGACTTGAGAGAATTGAAGAGCTCGAAAACGACGTCATTGATCTTCGCCAATTGTTGAAAGAACAGGTTTCTTCCAATTTATTCAGCACTTTAGATTTATTGCGAACCAATGCGACCTTACCCTCTGATTTTCATGTGAGAAATTCTTTGAACTATCATAGAGAGTTGGTAATATTGAGTTTTCCATCATTACATACAAAACACCTCCAAATATTGTCACTACTTTGTTGTTTTGTGGTAATACACTGTGCCGTACATCATTTGATGGATCTTCTTGTCTCACCAGAGAACAATCCCACCTGGAGAACCTCCGAATTATGCTTTTACGATTCCTTTAATGACTTTGACAAATGCCTGGGGAAACTAGTTGAAGAAATGTACGCCAAACGACTAACATTTAACTGTGAAGTTGTTTCAAGTAATTGTAGAAAAGGTATGATTATTACATTCAGATCCATTCCTTGTTTAATCTTCATATTTCGTATTTTCAAAATCTGTCAGATCGCAGAACGTTGAGCTGATTTGCTTTGTTCTCCACTGGGACCAAGATTTTTTGGCAGAGAATTTTTCCAAAAGTGTTCAACCCAGTCTCGAGCGTTATAGTAATGCCACTTGCGCTCATAGAACCTCATTTTGTAAGTATACTCAACTGGAAGAGAACTGACTCGGTTCAGTAATTTCACATAACTAGTTTTCGAGTTCGATTCCATTACGATCAAGCAAGTTCTGGAATTATGCTTGCACTCATGGAACTAATAAGAAAACTCAACTGTAACCAGTGGATCGGGGTGTTTTGGGTTTGATTTAGAGCAGTATTTATTTGTTTATCTTTTATGATCCCATCCTGAAGTATTTTCCCGTAAATGCGGGAACGATTACGGTAGAGGAACCCGTTTCAGAATTGTCATCACCACCCATTTATGGCGTTATAGAAGCACATAGTGGAATCATTTTCTTTCGAGGCTGTTCTGTAAGCAGCCAAACATCGTTTTCTTAAACCTTCCTAGGAGTTACTGTTTAACTTTTGTGGTGTTATTAGTATCGTACCGGTAAAAACGAGAGGGTAGTGCGAGGGTTCTTTACATATTTACAGAAGTAGTTTGGTATATATAAGCTGAGGCTCTTGAAACCGGTGCGTGAGGGTGAAGTGCAATTAACCGGTTAGCGGCTATTGTCCTCAAGTAGGTTTTAGGCTTCAACTCAACCCTGGTGGTTCCAGCTCTACTTGAACTTTTTGGCTTTTTCACTCACTTGGTGATGTTCAGATCATCGATAGCCGTTTACACATTTTTACCTAATAGTACTTCATAAACTAGTTCTCAATTTCATTTGTTTTCAGTTTTCAATTTTAATTATGAAGCTACTTTACGGTGCACCAATGTGGCAGGAAATCAAGAGGTTGTCTATTCCTATGGAAGAACGAATTCTTCAATGGGATTCTGTTGCCTTTTTGCCATGAACCCTTCTTTCTATTCAGAAATTTTTACCAATCTTTCCTCATAAGATGGCACTGGCCTCTTGATGTGGACTGCTTCCCCTAGCAGTAATGTGTAGGTTCGACTTCTCTGAATGCGAGTCCTATTGGCCTAACCTTTACATTAGGAATCCAGTTGTAAGATTTCAGTCGTTCATATCTGTATTTAGTAAAATAGCACAAAAGCATCAGTTGGAGCTGGCCACCTAGTGCACATCTCCTAGAGCTCGAACAGAAACTGGCTGATTTGTATCGGCTTCTCATATGTTTTCCTTACTGATGCTGCAACGTTCTCAAGTGGGAACGGTGGGGACTCATGATTTTGGGCATCTAGACCGCTGCTATATCTGCTTTTTGGACCTTTTCTGGAATACCATCGATTAGTAGCTCTCCCTATATCTGATATAATCGAATCCCTAACTTGGAATTACGGTAAAAATGGCTGTCACGACGTTTCTCACATGAGTCAGTTACATGTGATTATAACTGGCACCTTTCTCAATGTGGGCGTCATGAGTGGACAAGACCTTGAAAGGAAAATTGTTACGTAGTCGAATAGCATTTAAGTCCACGTCACGAGTAAAATCTGTTAAGATTAAATCTAGTAACAGGATTTCATGACAATTTCTATTTGTTGTGATGTTTCGATATCATCTAATCTCTGATCTCTTCATAAGGAAGTTCCTTTTCCTTGTCGTTACGGGATTTTGCTTTGTCTTAAAAGAGTCCGTGCAGAGCCGTCTAAATGCCGTAGTTTTCCATGTGGCAGCATGAACTGATGCTGTAGTACCGGATTCAGATGCTATTTTCTAAATTTCAAGCTCTTATTTGTCAATATTGGAGGTTATATTGCACGTTCTAAATTGAAGAGCGGTTTTACTGATAGAAAGAGGTTAGGGTTCTGATCCCTTGGTTTTCTTTATCTCACTCGTCATCTCCGGGGTCCGGGACGTTACCATAAGGAAAAGGATAATTTGTTTCCGGCCATGGTTTCCTTTTAATATGCGCGCTTAGTGCTGCTGTCAGAGCATACCTTGCAGTCAACTGCGAGTATTCAGAGGGTGCTATACTTTGAGTTTCAAGAAGAGGTGGAACAGAATCCAGGATCGCTATTGAGTGAACATAAGGCTACATTGAAATGTGAAGCATAATCATATCGTACTACTTTAAAGGTAGTAATATCTACCGCATTGGGCACCCTCCAGTTATGTGGTAGAACTGCCCATATCTGGCCCACTCCCATTGGTTCGTTGTCGAGCTGCCCGTCAATCCTGCCAATGAGAAGTTTGGCGGGAGCAGCCTTATTCCGCGATCCCTGGCTCATCTCTGATTGGACAGCTGTCAAACTGGGCAATAATCCAGCTGATTATAAGTTCGATTTGGCCTTGTTTTACCAATGGCTTGCGATGCATCGGGTCTTTTTGTCGTTTCTGGTTCGCTCAGGAACCATTACTAGATAGAATAGCAGTCTTTGGATGTGGACAGAGTTGACCACTTCAAAATGCCCTTTCTGAAAGGAATACGGGATGTTCAAAGAGACGGGGCTCATTAGCTCTGTCCATTTTTTACACTCGACTCTATCAGCAACAGGTCGACAAGAAATAACAATTAGGGGCTACTTGTTAAGACGCCTACTGTCTCTCGACCAGTTTTTCGATAATGATTAAATTACGCTGTTTTATGAGACTTGTTAGTCAAATTAGTAACAATGATCTGATTGAAGTTTGTCAGTCGTTTTCGATATTTTTGACATCTTGTTTTCGGTTTTCATTGCAAAAGACCTGCTGGTTGATGATTGCACTATTTTTGTTATTGCCAATGGAATACAATGTTAACTTGATCGTAGTCCATCGATCACCAAAGAGAATGGTCTCAGAAGTGGTGGTCGTGAGAAAGCGATGTCAACTGTCAGCATTGTTCACGAACTACAATAAGAATGGCTGGATGGTCGAGTTGAGTTATAGTGCGCCTCGATCATGTTCTCAACAACAAATAAACAACCGGAAAATGCTTAACTGTCGATTTTTTATTATATTTTCGAAATATTCAAGCATTAATTTTAAGCAGTTCAATCAAGCGAGATTTTGTGACTGTTTTTACCCATGAAGTTTCGAACAGCAGTATATAATACAGTAATAAATAATATCGAGAAGTAATTCATGATGAACTAGTAAAAGTATTTAAAGTGAATTAGTCCGAATTTCGAAAAAAATATCTTAGTCCCTGTTTAATTTCGTGAGTCCAAAACTCTCACAAGGTCCACCCAAACGGAAGGTTTCCGGTTTTTCCATTGAATGGCGCTTTAGAATATTTTACCGTAAGCCCTAGCGGAGAGAGAAATCCCTTTCGGACCTCTTTGGAAGTTGCACCTGCTCAACTGTTGCTCGAGAAATTCATTTGCCAATAGATTCATTGCTGAACTTGTTCCAATGGAAAGGAATTTCCATCATTATAATACAATGTTTACTAGTAGGATTCTACCAGTACCTCCAGCTCTCTTGTAGCGTTCAGTAAGGAAAATTAGCATAAACCCTCATCTGAGAAGCTATTATTCAACTTGTTTCGTTTTTGATTTCCACTGTTCCCGATTTCCTTGATTGAAGACAGGTTTTTTCGAAAAGAGTACCCCTGCTTCCCATTCCCTCCAGCGTCAATTTCACTATTTTCGAAAATGCTATTTTAAAAATGTTTTTCACCGCAACTACATGAAGCGAGTCATCAACACTAATCTAATTTGATGTTAACTTTGAAAAAACAAGTATCGTCAGATTTCAAGGGACAGATAAAATTCCAGGTGACGTCATCATTACATACGAAAACAAGTTTCTATAATGGGATAGTTTTACCGGGTACCGGTTCTGAAAAGTTTTGTCTAAGTTTCGAGGAAAATGAGTTCTCAAGCGTAAAGTTGTTTTTTCTGGAATACCTTAGACATGGATGGTAATTTAAAAGAACAGTTTCAATGAGAAAAAGATCCAAAACTGGTCATCGGTGCCGATAAGTGAACAGCGCTGATCGTCGTCAAGCAATTCAAAGAAATACTGAACTTCGTTCGAAATCTACCCTACCAGATCACAGCGTTATCATGTTGATCTTGAAAAGAACATCGTTCTATCCCCTTTTTCGATTTCTTAGACAATTGTGTAAATCAATTGTTACTGAACAATGAAAATGAATTGTTCAGATGTCACCTTTTTCCCATTTTATGGGAAATTGATAGGGTGACTTAGATTTCACATTCTTCTGGGATTAATTGTAAATGTATTTATGGTGCTAAGTGGGTTAGTTTTATATGATTTTATGGGGGTCTATATTACTCCAGATTGACTAGATAGGGACATTCAGGTAAGTAATCTATCGAGATCAAATCAGAGATCTCTGATGAGCTGTTTGATTTATGGTCATGCCCTTTGGAATGATTGAAACTCGACTTTCAATGCATAGAGAGAATGCGTTCCGATTTCCGACCTTGGGACCTCGAAATTGTGTCGATTTCCGAAGACTTTAACCATTCTTGGGTTTCTCCTCACAACTTTCCTTGGGAAAGCAAAAATAGCTGACTTAAATGACTGCATAGGAAAGCTACTAGTTACTGTCAAAGAAGTAATATCATCCATTTACTTCCTAATAAATTGTGTCACTGTTAGCATTAGGTGTTCTTGATCTCGAGACAAACTGGTTGCCTGTCTCTCCCTAAGAAAGCAGTAAACACGAATTCGTAGAATTTCAGATGAACGATGAACTATGGCCCTTTTTTTCGACCCTATGCCCTTGCACTTTCAATCACCCTTTCGATCTGTAATTTTACAATAATTTTCAGTTACTCGCATTTGCCGAAGCAAGAATGACGGAGGCGAAGGAGACGTGACGTGACGTTGGACGTTGGCAGTACTTCAGAATCAGATGTCGTGAACGAATTGATCTTCTATATGTTTCTTTTTTTTTCTCTTTTAACTTTTAATTGCTACTGCGGGTGTACTGACTGTGTTCTTTGATAATAGGATGATATGAAAAACCGTTGTGATGATAAATAATCGTTCTATGATTTATTGTATTGTATATGACAACACTAACCCGGTCGGAGAGATTAATGCTGATTTTAAAAAAGTTCAAATAAATTTATTTATTACTGCAATGTAGTTGTGAAATGGATCAAATTGAACTGATCAGTCTTCTCA